ACTAAACATTTGCAGTTTTGTTTTTTTTAAAACAATGTAAACTCACCCACAAAAACTGGGTAGTATTAAACAGCCCGTAAGGCACTTTGTCAGAGAGGACTAAGTAGTAAAGGCTGGGTGATTGGTCATTTGTTTAATAGGAAACATTCTGTGGTTAAGATAGCAAAATCTGTAGAGGAGTGGTTTCATTCCCCACCCCCACCCCCCCACCCCCCATTTATCATAGAAGGAATGGAGAAACTTTTAAACTTACTCTCACTTTGTTTTGACCAATTTCTCCTTTCAGAAGGAATATTTTAGTTGTTATTAAAAAAAAAATAGGAGCTATAAAGTTGTAGTGTGTGAAGCCGTTAGTTTTAATATAATGATTAAAAGAATATTAACATATCCATGTGTATCTTTAAAACATCCATACCCCTATGTGAAACTGAATTACAAACCAAAATATCTTAGAATAAAAATGTTCCATGCCATTAACAAGTCCCTTGCAACTTCTGATGGCTTCACATATTACAGTATCAGCTTTGGTATAAAACATGCAAATAAAAGCCAACAAGGTTGTGAATACCGGGCGGTTGAATGCAAAACATTTAACAAATACTGTTGCAGACACGCAGACTTAAAAAAAATGGCTAACACACTACTGTAGGATGACCAGAGTTTGCATTTCTACTGATTCTCGTTTTTAAATTTTCCTTGTTCAAAATCTTCAGCAGAGATTGACTCATATAAAATGGGTCTTTCAGTAGAGACATCATTTCTTTCTAAATCTTCCTCTAGGAGGAAGAACGGCACAGAGTAAATAGCAAAACAAAACTGTAAAAGCAGTAACATCGCCATCTGCTGTATACTTGCTTAACAGCAGTTCTTTTTTATTTTTCTTTTTTTCTAAAAATAGCATAGTTTGGTATCAACATTATTGTAAACATATGTATCAGAAAACAGCCCTTATCTTTATGTCAGTAAGATATTATCTCATTCTGTATATTAGGTCCTATTTCGCCAGTAATGCATATACCTCAAGTCTATGTTTGAAGAAATAACTAGCAAATTTAATTACTAAAAGTGGGGAAGATAGATGAATCAGAGATTTTTAAATTTACTTCCCAACACCCAAAACATTTCAGTTTCATAATTTGCTTTCTAAATGACTATATTTGTTAAAAATTAGATTTTTTGTTTTGCCATCAGCAATTTAAATAAATACGGTTTATAAAGTTTAGCACATTCCAACTTAAAAAAAGTCCAAGGAAGTATTGCTATTTTTTGTTATTAATTGTTTTTAAATAAAACAGCTTCTAAATTTCTTCTTAAAAACAACGCTCATTTTTGTTGTATGTTTCAGTCAAGTTGTTGCCGTTGCTATGTGCCGTCTCTGACACACCTACACCCATTACCCCACTCACAGAATCAATCTACCTCCTCCAGGATCTTTCTCTCTTGCGCTGTCTCTCCACAATCCCAAGCATGATGTCCCTCTCCAAGGACTAGTACCTCCTGGCAACATGGTCAAACTATGTTAGACAGAGCTTCAAAATCCTTGCCTCCAGGGAGCAGCATGGTTTCACCTTCTTTAGGACGGAACTGTTTGTTCTCCTAGAAGTCCATGGTATATTTAATATTCTTCTCTAACACCATGACTTAAAGGCATCAATTCTTCTTCTGTCATCCTTAGTCATTGTCCAGCTCTCTGATGCATAGCAAGTAATAGCAAAGACCATGACCTGTATCAGGTACATCTTATAGTTTCCAGACTGACACAGTTGCTCTACAGTACTCTGGAGAGGTCCCTGAGAGCAGATTTTCCCAATGAAATTTGTCCTTTGATTTCCTGACTACTGGTACCAAGAGTGTTGATTGTGGAACCAAACAATCTGAAACTGTCAGAAACCTCAATCTCCTTATCATCTATCATGATGCTGCCAATTGGCCAAGTGGTAAGAATATTTTTTTTTCCTTCTGATGCTGAGCTTCAATCCATATTGAAGGCTGCAGTCCTTGACCTTCTGTAGCAAATACCTCAGGTCCTTCTCAGTTTCAGAAAGCAAGGTTGTGTCATCTGTATAACATATGTTATTAATATGTTTTCCTCTGATCCTGATGCTACATTCCTCTTCATAGAGACCAGCCTTTTGTGTGATTTGATTGAAAAGGTATGGAGATAGGACACGATCCTGGTAAACATCTTTCCTGATTTTGAACCATGTAGTGTTCCCTCACTCTCTTCTGATGACTACCTTCAAGTATAGGTTTCGCTTAAGCAAAATCAAGTGTTCTGGGATTCCCATTCTTCTCAAAGTCGGCCACAAATTATTGTGATCCATACAGTCAAATGCCTTTGTGTAGTCAATGAAACACAGAGACGTTTCTCTGGTACTCTCTGCTTTCAGCTAAAACCAATCTAACATTGGCTATAATATCCCTAATGCCATGGCCTCTTCTAAACCCAGCCTGCACATCTGTCAGTTCTCTGTTGATGTGTTGTTCCAGTCGTTTTGCTATCATCTTCAGCAGGATCTTGCTTGCATGTGATATTAATGATATTGTTAAATAATTTCCACACTCTATCGAATCACTTTTTTTGGAATAGGAATAAATATGGACCTAATAGAGAATATCTTTCTGACTACAAATAAGTCCATAATGTAGTTAACATTTACATACATAGAAATTAATTTTTTAATCAAATGTTTCAGTTAATTAAGAAATATTTAACAGATCACGTTCTTTATCCTAAGATTTCTTACCAACGGGTTATATTTTTTTAAAATATAACCAAGTTTTGACTGCAACTCTGTATTTCAGAAAATACTTTCACTCTAGAAATTTTTCTAGTCTTATCAGAAAGTAAAATTGCTAAACTCTTAATACACACCAGCACCAAGAATCTGTTAATATACAGAAGTTATTTTTGGAAGTCTCCAAATTCACCTCCTTTGCCTCATCAAACTCTTGGAACAGCCAAGAATGGAAGGAAAAACCCGGCAGTTAGTCTCTTATGTATTGGTTTATGTTTTATTCAAGTGATTTTCCAAATTTTATGTCCATCAGAATTAAATGGAGAACTTAATAATCGTTCACATCCTGGCCAATGTCTCAACCCAACCTCTGTAGAATCTTCCAGGAATGGCACAGGCAACTTTGCTTATAATAAGACCTCCGAATGATTCTGATACTTTTTTTTTCAATGAGACCTATTATTACTTTATTTCAATATTATGAAGTTCTAGACTTGTCCTGAAGGGGCTTATTTCTTATAATTTTTAACTACTTAAGGTGGATGTTACCATTCCATTCAATCTGTATTGCTGAAAAAAAAAAAAAAAAAACAACCAACCAATAGAAATAAAAACCTTACAAGATAAGTAATCATTCTCCCTTGTCTTTTGTGCTTTAAGGACAATGAAAGTGGCAAAGAACCATTGTTAAAATGTGAAGAGTAAGTGACCACAATAGTCTCAAGAGAGTAAGTCAAGAGCAAATTGGTGGTCTTTATAAGGACAAATGTTTTGAAAATCTTTCCCATTCATTGGCATATAATTTACTGATGTCTTTCTATTCAACTACCATGATGTCAGTGTAAACCAGGTTGGATGATTAAATACATTACTATTTAATCTAGGTTTCTACACTTGAGGATGATTAAGTATACTAGCTTTTATTCTAATGTGGAAATACAGCAATATGCTTCTAACTCTCATTTTGGTTGCACGGATCATATTTTAGATCAATATACTTTCTTTTGTCAATTCATAAATAATCCTTATACACAAAAGCTCTGAATCAAAAGCCAAAAAAGTATGCTAATAGCTTTAGTATTTCTTTTGGGATGCCTTGTTTTTACACTCTTAGTCACATCACATACATTTGCACACAGGATAGATAGGAAAGGTATATGAGTATCTGATTCATGCTTTGCCCTGCCATGAACGAGATGCAAACGTAGCTGCCAGAAACCAGCTTATTACTCTGGTTCACAGGAGTGTAGTATGGCAGTAGATTTCCCCCCTAAGTAATTGGGGGAGAGATTTCCTAACACATAATATGATCCTTGTAAAGGTACCCCATAAAGTAGCTAAAGTGACACCAATACTGTTATTTCCTTAGTGTAAATATTAAACTGTCTTATCTTTCCTTTTTCCTTTCTGAAAATTGAGCATATATTAGATCTTCTATAGAACAAAGCTATTTAGAAATACAGGTATGTCCATGAAAAGTTATAAACACAGTTCTGAAACAAATCCACACTGATCTTTTATATTCATGAGTGTGAAATTTGGATTAGAGTTAAAAGATTTAACCTGTGTGGCAGTTTCAGTTTTGTTCGGAATATTTTCACCAAGCCAGAGGTTCATGCTATTGGAATTGACATTCTCAGCTATGATCCAGCTTCACCATATTTATCATTTCACTGAAACTGAAGGGGTATGAGACTTTCACAGTCATTTTACCCAGTAATACTCCTTGTCGAAACTGTATAACATTGGCATATATATGTGTTATGAACTGGGAATCACTTACTGAAATATACTTCCTAGGGAGCCACCAATAAATATTTAATCACAGTTTAGGGAATTGTTCACCAGTTCGAACAGTACAAATATAACCATAGCACCATATTTACAAGTTTAGTACCATATGCTGATTAACTATAAATCAATCATTTTATGGCTAATTTGTTATACATTTATAGTACTTTCAAAAATTGCCTGAATATCCTTTACAAATATACACTTATTAAAAAGAAGGCTATCAAAGTTCTGTACAGGGAAAGAGTACACCAAATTATAAAAGTTATTAAAACACTCTGGCTAAAGATTTTTTAAAAAGTTGAACATATACATTTGGCTCTTCAGCAGAGACCACAGTCTATAAAAGTTCCTATTTCACAGAGGCTACTGTCATCAAATGGTACCAGCTGCTGAAACTCAGAAATAAGGACAGAAATTTTGCATTACCCCGAAGCACCAAATTGCAACTGACTTATTTTGGAAAAACTTCTACTTTAAAGTGAGTGGCACTGTTTGGAGCTTTTCTTGCTCCTGAGGAACTAGCGTTTTCTGGGTCAAAATCTCATGCAGCTTAGGAGATATGAAGTAGGGTTTCTCTGCAGATCCATCGTTTCTTTCCAGATCATCACCTGTATACGAAGCAGCCAAAGCCAGCAAGCAGCAGCAGAGCAATCACATGCGTTTTAATAAATTGGAAATTCAAACAGAGAGAAATAAGAGAGAACAGTTAGATTGGTGTTAAAAAGTCGAGTAAAACACAAATTAGCGCAATTTAATTGCTGATGCTGTACAAGGCAAGAGATCTCAGTCTTGGCCAGGAAGCCTGGGGATGTACACACATTCTAAAAGAGATTTATTTTGAGAGTTTAAAGATCAATAAGATATTTCATGTCTTTTCAAGAGTGTTTCCTACAAAATCTGGGATCTTTTAATTTAGGAAATGTATAAATTGTTAGAGTCTATAGGATAAAGCTGAATAAAGAGTACAGGACTTCAGTGGTCCTGTGGCAAGTAGAGTGGTAACTGAATTTCTGAATTTAAAAGCAACATTAATAATTAGGCACACGTTACTGTTACAGGTGAAAATAACTGAGGCCCTAGGAAGAAAAACTGACTTTTGAAGTTGAAAGCTCGTGAAGAACCAGGTCTCCTACTATTCTAAGACATCTTGTCCCAAAACTGTGGACTTCAAATTATGTTTGAATGCTAACACCAATATGTTTTCTAACTCTTGTAGAAGTAAATGTGAACATTAATATTAGGGGGCTATTATCTAATATTAACATGAATATGTGTTCTCTAAAAAGCAGGCTGGGTGGTTATAGGAAAGCAGCAGAATTATGCTGAGAAGGAAAGGAAAACAAGGGCAAGTATGCATGGAATCAGAAGCTCCCTTTAGATATATAGAGCTCAAAGTAGAGAATATTTGTTGATAAATGCTTATTAGTCAATATTAATAGTTAAGAAATAAAAATTTGTTGTTTGAACAGTATACTAAAATGAATTCTATGTTCTTTCCTTTCTTTATTTGTTGTTATGTGCTGTCAAGTCAAAACTGACTTATAGTTGACTCTTCAGTGGGTTTTCAGAGGCTAAAAATCACACGAGAGAAGATTTCCCAGATTTCTCCCAAAAAAGCAGCTGATGGATTTCAACAGCCTCCCTTTGGGTTGTAGCCCAACACCTTATGCACTCGGCTGCCAAAGTTCTTGTTGTTTAGTACAACATATATAAGCAATAAGAAATAGTTGAAAAGACCATATAGACTACTAGGTTTATAGGATATATAGAAATTCTTTTTCATCATAAAATTTGAAGAAAAAATTCTTTTTAATTTTTTTAATATTTTTAAATTTTGTCAATGTAAATGATTGTATAAAACACAATATATATGAATAAAAACATAGTGTAAAATAATTATTATTTGAAAACCAATAAAATATTAAATAAAAAGTTAAACCTCACAGTCACTTCTTCACATATCTAATGTAAATCTTGAGAAGTAAGATGATATGTTTTTCCTCAATTTTGTTCTTTTTTCCTTAATTATATTTCCATATCTAACATACTTTGAGCATATACCTAGGAGGGGCTATTACTTGGAGAAGGACGTGATGCTGGAAAGGGTGGAGGGTTGGCAAAGGAGAGGAAGACCCTTGGCCAAGTGGAATGACACAGTGACTGCCACAATGGGCCCTTCTGTGTCAGGAAGTGTGAGGATGACATAGGATAGAACAGGGTTCAAATCTTTTGTTCATAGGGTTGCTATCAGTTGTACTAGACTTGATGGCACCTAACAATGACGACGACAACAACAACAACAACAACAGCAACAGCAACAGAAGCAGCATCATTACTACCATTAAATATTGGCAGGGAGGCTGATCTGGTCACAATAATGATCATATGTATTTATAACTTTTTCTCATTAGGAACCAGTGCCTTAAAAGTTTACATGATTCTATATTTTAACAACAGACTATCAATTGTTCCTGTGCAAATTCAAATTAAAGCTGATTTAAAAAATTAAAATAGGAGAGCAAGAATATAAACCTTGAGTTTATCTGACCAGAATTAAAAAAAACAACCCCAAATTTCAAGAACATATTTGGTGCATTGAACACAAACTATTGAAGACTAGGTGAGTTGTGGGATGACATCAAGGACATGAAGGAAACAAAACAATAAGAAATTCTCATGTGTCAACTCATAGCTGACCCTCCACTGGGTTTCCAAGGCTATAAATCTCAAGGGAGGAGACTGCCTGTCTTTCTCCAATGGAGTGTCTGTTAACTTGGAACTGCTAGACAAGGGTAGCCTTTGAGTTAGAAGAGCAATTTGCTATGCATTACACCAACAGAGCTCTTAACAATACAGAAAAGAAAGGGAAGACCAAATTTGACATCAGAAAAGACCCTGGATTTTGTTGTTGGATCTTACTCTTACTCATTGCTGTCTAGTGATTCATAGCTAACTCTCCATTGGGTTTTTCAGAAGCTGTAAAGTGCATGGGAGGAGATTGCTCATCTTCCTCCTAAAGTCACTGATAGATTTAAACAGTCAAAGAGGCACCACCTTTAGGTTGATCGCCCAGCTCCCTACAGACTATGCTTTTGGTTGTAGAAAAGACAACTATACAAAAAAATGGTCAAACAAGAGAGCAAAACAGATTTCAAGGGGTAGCTTAAGAAAAAAAATCACAGTATTATAACACAATTTGCAAAGTCTTGGTGTTAGAAAACCAAAAGGAAAGAGCATGCCCAGCATTTCTTAAGCTGAAAGAACTGACGAAAACACAAAAACAAAAACAATCCTTGAGTTGCAAAATCAAAGGATAATGTTGTTGTTAGGTGCCATCAAGTCAAGCACAACTCATACTGACCCTATGAACGAAAGATCTGAACCCTATGCTGTCCCGCACCATCCTCACACTTGCTGACACACAGGGCCCACTGCAGCAGTCACTGTGTCAATCCACCTGGTAGAGGGTCTTCCTCTCCTTTGCCAACCCTCCACCCTTCCCAGCATCATGTCTTTCTCTAAGAAATAGCACCTCCTAGCAACATGTCCAAAGTATGCGAGGCAAAGCCTCATCATTTTTGCCTCCAAAGAGCACTCCGGCTGCACCTTCTCCAAGACCTATCTATTTATTCTCTTGGCCGTCCATGGGATGTTCAGTGCTCTCCACCACCACTACAGCTCAAAGGTGTCAATTCTTTTCTTCTGTCATCCTTATTCATATCCCAGGTCTTGCATGCATAGCTAGTAATTGGAAAGGCTATGGCCTGAATCTTAAACAATATAGGATGCATCAAAAGAAGGAAAAATAATAATAAAGTCACTTTACCAATATGAATTAGTAAAACACAAGACCATTTCAGGAAGTGGCATATGTTCTAAAATTAATGATAGTAAAATGAGAAGACCAGGATTCACTGAAGACATTAGCAAAAAAATGAATTTCATGAATTTACAGATTATCAATTGAGTTGTTTCAGCAAATAGATGCAGCAAAGGAAGTGTTCACTAGTTTATGACAAGAAACTTGGAAGATAGCTACTTGGTTGGCCAACCAATTGAAAGAAATTCATGTTTGAGTCTGTTTCAAAGAAAATGAATACAAGAGAATGCAGAGAGTATAAAACAGTATCATTAACATCACATTCATCTTGCTGAAGCTGGAGTGGTATGTTGTTGTTAGGTGCTATTTAAGTTGAGCATGACTCTAGCAACCCTATGAATAGTCAGCCTGAAACCTGCCCTATCCTGTGCTATCCTCACCATCTCCAAAAAACTCAAACCCTTTGCTGAAGTCGTCAAGTCAATCCATTTCACTGGGGGTCATCCTCTCCTTCACTGATCCTCAACCATCTTTCAAAGCATGATATCTTCTCCAGTAAATAGCCTTTTCCAGCTAAACGTCCAAATTATGAAAGACAAAGCATCACCATCTTTGCCTCAAAGGAGCACTCTAGTTGCACCCTCTTCAAGACCTATTTGTTCTCCTGACAGTCTATGGAATATTCACTATTCTTCTCCAGCACCCCAATTCAAAGACATCAATTCTTCTGTCATCCTTATTCAGAAAGTAAAGCTGGATTCAAAAATGCCCATGGATGAAGGAACATCATTGCTAATATAAGATGTATCTTGGCTAAAAGCAGAGAATACCAGAAAGCAGTTTATATTTGTGTTTTATTGACTAGGCAAAGGCATACAACTGTGTGGATTATAATAAATTGTGGTCAACTTTTTGAAGAAAGATAATTTCAGAACTTTTAATTGTGAGCTGTGGTGTTGGAGAAGAGCACTGAACATCCCATGGACTGCCCAGAGAATGAATAAACATGTGTAGACAGTGTTTTCAGCAGCAAGAATGAGGAAGCTTCACCCTCACATTCTTTGGGCATGTTGATTGGAAAGGCTATTCCCTGGAGAAGAACATGAGGCTGGGAAGGGTGAAGTGTCAGTGGAGGAAAGGAAGACCATCAACTAGGCTGACTGACACAGTGACCGCTGTAATGGGCTCTTGTGTATCAGGAAGTGTGAAAATGGTTCAGAATAGAACAGGTTGCAGATCTTTTGTTCATAGGGTCGCTATAAATCATACTCAACTTGACAGCACCTAACAACAATAAAAACAGCATATAGAATCTGAACTTAGGTAAAAAAAGCAGATGCTCCAACAGAATAAAGGGATACCGCATGGCTTCAGGTAAAGTATGTATCTTTCCCTATACCTATTCAATCTATATAATGAGCTGTGGTTCCATAGTGCATACTGTGTTGTACTACTAACCTAAAGCCATTCAAATCCATTAGCTTCTCCAAAGGAGAAAGATGAGCAATCTCGACTCAGAGGGTCACTATGAGATAGAATTGACTTGACTCAGTCTTTTTATTTTTTTTTATTCAATTCATATACTGAGTAAGTAATCTGAAAAATGGATTATATGAAGAAGAATATGGCATTAGAAATGGAGGAATATTCATCAACAACCTGTGACATGCAGGTGATTCATCCTTGTTTGCTGAAAGAGAAGAGGACTTGAAGTACTTACTGAAAAATATGAAAGACTATAGCGTTTAGTATGGATTAGACTTCAACATAACCAGAAATCCTCACAACTGGACCAATTAGCAACATCATGATACATGGAGAAAATAATAAAGTTCTTGAGGATCTAATTTTACTTGAATCTACAGTCAACACTTAAGGAAACAACATTCAAGAAATCAAATGATGGATTTCACTGAGCAATCCTGCTGCCAAGGATCTCTTGAAAGTGCTAAAGAGTTGTAAGGATTCAGTTTTAAAGACTAAGGTGCAACTGCCCCAAGCCATGGGATTTTGTATTGCTAACATGCATCTGAAAGTTGTACAATGAATAAGAAAACACCAAAGAAGAACTGATGCCTTGAAATTGTGATGGTGGTGAAGAATTTTGAAAATATCATGGGCTGCCAAAGAACAAACAAATTGGTTTTGGAAGAAGCACAAATGGAGTGTTCCGTAGAAGCAAAGTTGATGAGACTTTATCTCACACACTTTAGGTAGGTTGTCAAGAGGGGTCAGTTCCTGGACAAGCAGAGAGTGAGGGGAAGAGTGGAAGGCCATCAAGGAGATGAACTGACACAGTGACTGCAGCAACGAACTTCCACATAACTGAGACTGTTAGGATGGTACAAGATCAGGCACTGTTTCATACTGGAATACACAGGGACACAATCAGTCAAAATCAACTTGATTGAACCTAACAACAACAACAACAATAACAACAATAATAAATTTTATAAAAGAAGTATTTAAAAATAGCTTATATTTACAAAATACTAGTTTTCTGGCAGACAAGATTATGTGATAAGATATATAAGATATTGCTCAAAGTAATAGTTGGGAAGAAAATGTAGTTTCCCTTGGTCCTTAATGTCAAAATCAAGAGTTTCTGAAAGGAAACCATCCATAGTCAATGCAAAATGTGTTGAGTAAAGCTAAAATTGTACCTGGGTCTTAGTGAAGTAGGCAACTATGTTAATATAGGTGGAGGGACAACTTTTTCCTACTACCTACATTTAAAATCCATTGTCAATTTAAGAATACTCTCCTAAGGTTTCAAAATCCTAGACACCACCTATCTGCACTTGGCCTGTGATATATCTTGTGAAACATCTTCAGTTATAAACATTGTAATCAGTAGGATCTCCAAGTATTACTCCCATGATTAGTTTTAAAAATGAGTGTCTTTGTGTGTTTAAGGACCATGTGTTTTCTAATCCTTACTCTAGTTGTGGTTTGTTCATGTGGTATTTTGTGAGTGGCTTTTCTTTACGAGCTACTGAAGCAGAATGAACTCATAGTGGTAAAGAATTACTTTGTCAATCCAAAGGTATATGGTTCAAATATACCAGTTGATCCTCAGAAGAAAGATGGCATTCTCCTCCCACGCAATTTACTGCCTCTGAAAGCCCACTGGAAGGTCAGCTATGAATTGCTTCTGTCTTAAATGTACTCAATAACACCAACAGCAACAAGGCAGAAAGAAACCAGAGCCATTTACAGAAAATAAAAAGAACTACTTAGTGATTTCATTCTCCTGATTTTTTTGTCCAGTCTAGAGAACTGATTTCAAAATTCAGAAAAATATAAGTCAGTCTGCTCTCCAACTGATTTTGACTTGAATATATCTTCTCATCTGACCTTATTGTGAAGTAATTTCTGAGTATTACTCTCAAGAAATTAATATTTTTATACAAGTGGATTATTCAATAATACCTCATCATAGGAAGTATTTTTCTTTGATTCTTTCATGTATAATGTACACTCCCCCCACAAAAAAAAGTCTTTGGAGGTTAAGAAGTTTTGTTCTTTTATCTGTTGGCCCTACCTTCTCTATGTTTGCCAGGGTGAGGGATAGGGCTTTTATGATGAGGTAAAAAATAAAACACACCCATTCTATATATGTGAGTTACTTTTACTACAGAAGGACACTGTGTGGAAGTCAGTGAGGAAATGCTAAAAAAGTAACTTTAGGAATCTAAATTGACCCAGCTATTTCCTAACTGCGGTTATCTGAATCCTGCGAACTTCCCATTTTGTTACATAATGTGAATGGACCTCACGTGCATTTAAAACCACTGTAATTTTGACATTATTAGAGTTTTTTAAAACCCTCCTCAGGAAATTTCCCAAGGACCAATTATGTACTTATTTCTGTTAATAAAGTATAACAAAGCCATCTTGAAAATACTAATAAAAACAATACCACGTTAACCACATTAGCCATACCATGAAGACCAAGATTTCTTTCTAAGTTAATTTTCCTGTGCTTTGCAAACTATTTTCTCTTAAGGATTAAGGAACATCTACCAAGCAATGCCTTTTTACAAACACTGTATTGCAGTTGCACCCAGATCACAGCAAATCCACAAGCCAGCTAAGGACATCCTTTCTGTTATCCCACTGAGAAGGGAAACACCACAGTTAATACTTACAAAAGCAGATGAAAAGTGTATCAATACACATTGCATAGACACTGAAGAATCCATGTGCAATCATGAAAGATCCCAAAATGACAGTCTGTAAATGGACAGAGAAGAAAACAAACATGTTATTTACAGTGTCCATAACAATAACACTGCAGCTTTGAAATACAATGTAGAGAAAACTTTGAAGTACACTGAGGCGTTGCAAACAATTCTATAGAAAGGCTCCTTCAAAACATTCGATTATAATGATTTTATTTGCATTGTACTAAGATTTAGGTAGTGCAAAACTACTAACCAAAAGGTTGGAAGTTTGGGTCTACTCAAACGCATCTTGGAAGAAAGACCTGTTACATACTTTCAAAAATCAGCCATACACATCCCTATAGTGCACAGTTTGACTCGGATATACAGGAGGTGTCACATGAGTCAGAAAGCACTTGATGGGAACTAGCTTTGAAGGGATTAGTGATTTAGTGGTGGGATTCTTATCTTTAATGTAAAAGATCTAGGTATTCGTGGACAGTGCACCTCATGCTCAGCCTCCACCTGTCTGGAAGTGGAGGTTTAAGTGTTGCTATGACTCTGAACAGTTTTCAGCAAAGCTTCCAAATTAAGATGGCATAGGAGGAAAAGCCAGGCAATAATACTTTTATAAATCAAATAACCAAACTTTCATGGATCATGGGTGCAGGACTGGACAGAGATTTATTCCATTGTACATGAGGTCAACTTCAATCGGGGGCAAACTAAACAGAATCTATGAAAACAACAAATCATCTGCCCATTTTCTTACTATTATTGCCAAAGCCTACAACTGTATTATGGTAATAAAATTCAGGGGTGGAAATGTCCCTAATTGTGACACTAAGTTCACCAGTGATAGATCAGTCACAACAGTTAATTCGGCCATTCTTTGCCTATAGACCACAAACGACTCTAGAGATCCTATTCTATTTTTTTAACTTTTTAAAAAATATTTCTTAGGGAAGCTCTGGTGGCCTAGTGCAAGAAGCTGCACTGCAATCCCAGAGGCACACAGTTCGAATCCACCAGATGCTCTGCTGGGAAAGGAGGAACAATCTCCTCCTGTACCAATCAGATCCAATTTGACGGTACACACACACACACAAATAAATTTAAAAAAATATTTCTTTCCTTTTACTTAAGTTTATTTTTTATTGTGATTTTAATGGAAGTTTACAGAATAGTTGAATTTTCATTAATTCATTATTACACATTTCCCTCCCAGTTCACTTAAAAAAAGTGTCATTGCTACATAATTTCTCTCTTCCCTCCCCCCAAGTCCACTTTGCCCAAGTCCACTTTGCTATGCACTTCTTATTCTGGACTGTTGTCGTACAAATGCCTAATCATATATTCCTTTTAAACAGTTCTTCCCTTCATCTGTTCCAGTGTAGTGTTTATTATTATTGCTGCCATTTTGCCATTTTCTTTTTCTGTTGCTTCTGATTATTATGATCCACCTACTTATCCTTTGGTGTCTCTGTGTGAATGAATTCTCTTAGAATTTCTTGCAGAGTTTGTCTTATTTTCACTAATTCCTTAAGTCCCTTCTTTTCTGCAAATGACTTAATTTCTCCTTCATATTTGATGTACAACTTCACTGGGTACAGGATCCTTGGCTGGTAATAATTCCCCCCAACCATCTGTATATGCCATCCATTGTTTTCTTGGCTGCACAGTTTCTGCTGAACAATCAGAACTTAATCTATGTGATTCTTCTTTGTAGGTGACTCTTTGTTTTTCTCCCCTGCTTTAATCCAATGGTGAGAATCTTTGTTTTCTTGATGTTGAGCTTTAATCTGTATTGAAAACTGCAGTCCCTGACCTGCAGCAAATACCTCATGTCCTGCTGAGTTTCAGCAAGCAAGGTTGTGTCATCTGTATAACACATCTTCTAGCAGGGTGTTATTTAGCTCCATGTTGACAGTTCTTTATCTTTATGATGTTGTCAGTTAGTTGCAGAACTATTCTGTTTGCTGTGACAAGCATTTGCTCTATTGGAAATCCTTTCTGGGAATGTGGAGAAGGTAAGTTTACTCTTCCTGCCACCCCTTCCCCCTTTTCTTGTTGTGTACTGTCAAATCAGATCCAACTGGTTCAGGAGGAGATTGCCCCTCCTTCTCCAGAGGAGCATCTGGTGTATTTGAACACCACACCTAGATTTCCCAGGTAGGTAGGGAGGTGGCAGGAATCTCCCACCCCAACACTTCACTGTGCTGCCTCTGGAATTAGTCTCTGCCCTGAATGCATCTCCCCTCTCCTGAAGTCTATTGTCCTCTTTGGTCTGTGGTATAGCCCCAGGTATCCTGCCTGGAGGAGTGTCCCTCCTGGGGAATTTCAGGCCTTTAACTCCTCCATACCACAATATCTTATCTCTGGGACTGAGTGTTTGCACTCACTGAGGGATTGCAGCCCTCTATCCTGAAGGCTTTTTGTAGTCTCAAAACAAAGCATAGGCATCTCTTTAAAAAAGTTTAAAAATTATCAAGTTGTAGATCAAAAATAATTCTTAAGACTACACCAAAAATATTTGCAAAAAGAAATAAAAATAAAATTATTTAGAAAACCAAAAATATTTTAAATCAAAGAATTTGTGCTGTTTTTAAGATTATAAGTCAACCCTTAAAATTTTCTTACCTGCTAGCATCAACCCAGTTGATATATAATGAAACCAAGTCTTAAAACACAAAGCTTTAAGATTGGATAAAAAAAAAATCCATCAATATGTTGTCTACAAGAGACACACCTGAAAAATGAAGATAAAGACAGGCTAAAAGTAAAAGGGTGGGGGAAAATATACCAAGCAAATGGCAACCAGAAAAAAGCAGGAGTAGCCATATTAATCTCTGATAAAATAAATATCAATGTAAAAACCATCACGGAAGATAAG